CCCCCTTGTGGCGCGGCGGGTTAGCCACTGGCCATGTGGCTGTTGCCCATCTGCGATGTGGCTGCTGCCACCGGGAACTCGTGCTTTCACAGCCGAGGAGCCACATGCAGCTAGAGTGCGGGACAGAGAGGAGCCTGGAGACGTGTGCATGTACCGACTAGCAATCTCAGAGCTGCCCGTGGGCATGAGGTCCTCGAAAAATGTGCAGAACATGTGTACTATGAAAAAAACTGTATGTGGATTTGAAAAATATTTGCATGAAAATAAATAAATTCATAGGGCCAGAGGGTGGCTCAGTGGTTACAACTGGACCTATGGGTGAGGGGCCGGGGATCAAGTCCCAGAGTCTCCCTCTAAACACACCAGAAGTGTGAGCTCAGTCAGGCTGCTGGGACAGGGGGTCACAGCGTAAGAACCCTGGTGGGGGTGTTTGTTTTCTCATTCTCTCTGTTTCTTTCTTATGGAATAAAGAAACAAATAAGCTTTGAAAAAACCAACTTGGACTTTAACTCCATTTGTCCGGGAGCTTTGTGAAGTCCCCTTGTATTCGCCTTTGTGGGTGGATAGGCCCCTCCCAGTTCTGTCCTTAGGGTTCTATCCCACAAAAAGGAATCCCGTTAATAGATCAAAAACATCATCATAGCCAGAGAGTGGACAAAACAAAGCTTTATTTGAACTCCCCTGCAAGCCCTTTGAGGCCCTGACCACCACCCGGCTGATCTCAGCAACATGGACGCCTAAGCCATTTCATGAATAGCACGGCAGCCATGGCGCCAGGTCCCCACGTGGCCTGTGTTGCTAAGCCTGTAAGAGAAGCCCCTCCCACAGTGTATGTGCAGCCCAGGCCACGTGCTGGTTGTCATGGCATGCTCTCCTGGCCACTCGCAAGGCCAGCACAACCGTGGCCCTGAGCACCACTCAGCACCCAGACACTGGCTGGACACCCCCTATATAGCCACAAGGCATGGTGGGACAAAGGACAACCTTCCCTGCCCTCAAGGACCCAGCTCACCACAGCCTTCCCCTGTCCCACACTCTCACATGCTTAGCTACACAATACACACTGGGTGACCTCATCAACTGCAACTTCTGGCTCATGTCCAGAGGACTTAAGGTGCATCTCAAAGGAGAGCCAGTGGGCCAGAGCTGCCAGCTCAGCACCCGGCCTCCCTGGTTCTTAACTGCCCAGCCACGGAGTGAGGGGCAGGCAGACTCAGCGAGGACCAGGTCTGGTCAAACTCGGGCTCTAACTAGCCACCAGTATTTCCCCCAGCTTCGCTGAACAGCCATATATTTGGGACATGCTGACCTCCTACTGAGAGATGCAGAGGGCGGGGGAGGGGTGGGGGTGTTTCCGGACCTCAGCTTGGAGACACGGGTTGGACTGGAGTAGCTTCGAACTTTTAGTTCCAAAGGTCAGAAGGTCATCCCATCGCTTAGGGGTTCATTCCATTCTGCATGGACAGACACAGAGTGGCAGGCACAGCCAGGGCTCTGCCGGCTTGTGGGCCTCAGAGCCCTGTGCTGAGGTGGAGAACTGATGGCCCCAGTGCAGACTACAGCTCACGGACAGTCGCTAAAGGTGCCCTCGGCCCTTAGCACATTGCTCCAGCAGGGAGGGAACAAAAGGCGAGACTGACGGAGCGCTACTGTGAGTGCACACGAGGGCATCCACACACTACAATGAAGGCTCACACATGGCTCTCCCCAAATACAAAAGTATAAAAATAAAATCTCTGCCTTGTGTATCTGGAAGCATCTGGAGGCAACATGATTGCGTCTACGTCCAAGTTCTCTGAGCAGGCATGCTCAGCAGGCCCTCACCTTCCTGGGCTGTCTGGGGAGCAGAGACAGAGGTGACAGGACTCCGTCCCGGAAGCCAAACCCAGGACAAGACCAGCACACCCCAGCGGCATCTGGTGGCACGGGCTGCAGGGTCTCCAGCAGGAGAGGGAGGTTGAGCCTGACTGCACGTTCACATTCAGGGTGGTGCTGGGCAGTGCTGGGAGCGGGTACTCCTGGGACACTCAGCTAGCCAGCCCCAGGCTGTGCTCCGAGGACAAGCCAGGGGCCGGGCGCCAACTCAGGCCGAGCCCGGGCACAGTGCGCCTTCTCACTTAGCAACGCCCCCTTTGTCCTTGTGCTTCTGGTAGGCGCCCAGGATCTCCGTGATGACACTGGGGTCCTCTAGGGTGGTGGTGTCCCCCAGGTCCTGGGCTTTGCCTGTGATGATCTTCCTTAGCAGCCGCCGCATTACTTTTCCAGACCGCGTTTTCGGCAGACGTTTCACCACCTGGCGAGGGACAGGCATAGCATCAGCATTTGGGGCGACACACCAGCGTCTATGCCCACTTCCGACCGCACTGAGAGATAAGGGCTCTGTGCAGGGCACCTCTGGCTGGGGACTCCAGCCAGATGATGAGTGGGGCCTTGCCCTGGAACGTGGTGGGCGCCCCAGCCCCCAGCTATATCCTCCTGCAGCTGCAATCAACCCTAAGGGCAGGACCCCCACGAGCCGGTCCTCTCTGAAGCTCTCCACAGGCAGGGCCTGCAGGGCCGGCTCGCCCCATGCCTTGATTGTCCCCCAGCTATACCACGCAGCATCCCAGGTGGTTCTGGTCTTGCATAAGAACTCAGGAGAACGAGCTTGTCTCTCTGTGTCTAAAAATTAACGTTCAGCATTTTTTTTTTTTTTTGGAGAGATTTTTTTTTTGCTATAGGGCGCGTGCGCTCGCCAGACAGACAGAGAGAGACATAGAGACAGAAAGCGAGAAATCACCCCCCAGGGGGGATGGTCACGCTGCAATCCCTTCTCCTCCATTCTCCTCTCGGGATCTTGGGCACGCACGCACACGTGCCCGGCGTGAGTTTTAAGCCACCGGGTCCAGGACGCGAACCGCGGTCGACTACGTGGGAGGCCAGCGACATAGCCATTACGCTAACTGCTGGTTCCCTAACGTTCAGCATTTTCAGGCACCTATGGCCATTTGATGAGAATGGCAATTCCAAGCCACGTGTGCAGCCCAGTGACTCTTCAGATTGTTCAGCTCCCCTCAGGGACGTTCGGGACCCTGAGACTGGTCATGAGCCAACAGTGACTGCAGCACTAAGTGAGGCTGGGGCCCGCCGGTCTGAGCTCCACTGCCCCAGCCCGGAAGGCTGTAGCGAATGGTAGTGAGGAAGGATGGCAAAGCCACAGGGAGGGCTCGGTCCCCACCAGATTCAGCCCTCAGGAGGAGGCCTGGGTCTCCCTGGCTGGCACCAGGAGTTGGATTCAGAAACCACAAGACCATGGCCAGACAGTGGCACCTGGGTAACAACGCTCATGGTGCTGACCCCAAGGAAGGTTCCAGGCTTGTGCCTAGAGACAGCCCTGTACACGCTGGGACACATGTCCCTGATCCAGGGCAACTGAGAGTGGGGGTGGATCAGAGTGTCAAGATCGAGTCGGGGATGATGTCTGTTTGTCTCTGGCTCTTTCTCTCTGCGGGTCTCTCTCAAACATGGAAGAAAGACAGAAGACCTTTATCAGATTATTCTCCCAAAATGATCAGAGAAATTGCATGGAGCCAGTCAATTTCACATCTTCAGTCGCTTTACATCCATATACAACTGGCTTTGCATCCCAATTTCTCCTCCGTTATTCTCTTTGCGTTCCACTTCCTTCTTCCCCGTTCCTTTTACATCCCATTTCCCCTTCCCCCATTCTCTGCCCTTCAAAAGAATAAACCTGAGGCTGGTTATGGTCGCAATTTCTCCATCAGAGAAGTTGTGCCCACTCAATCCTCGCTTTTCGATAACTGTGTGTCTTTGTGTGTTTTGTTATTGTGTCTATTTCTAATCCGCAGCCCTCCCCACTCAAAATCGTGTTCATGCTGAGCTGGCCTCAGCACCTGGGCACTCTCCACATGTCCAACAGAAACCCCTTCTTCCCTTCTCCGCCCCCTGTTCAGTAACTAGCTTCCTCAGCCAGCACCGAGAGGGTGGACGCCTGCCCAGAACAGCTCCCGACCAGGAGTGGGAGCCCAGGCGCCATCTCCCTCACCCTACAACACAGCAACCACCTTCACCTCCCACCCAGGAAAAGCCCAACAGCCCAACAGCTAGTGCTGGCTCTGAGCTGGCTCCAAGAACAAACATGCTCCCGAAGGATCTCATGGCTGACAGTGTGGGAGGCGGGGAGGAGGCTCAGAGAGCTGCGGCTGCAGGCGCTCACCAGGATCTGGTCAGGCACGGCGTATTTGGCGATCTTGGTGGCCACCATGGACTTGAGCTCCTTCTTCACCACGTCGGGGTCACCCGTGTCGTCTTTCAGCACGATGAAGGCAAACGCGGCTGGAAGAAAGTGCAGGAGGGGCATGTTAGATCGTGGACCCTTCCCCAGGCGGAGCCAGACCCAGATCTGAAGGCGGCGAACATCACGTGGGTCAGCCCACGGCAGCGGCTTGTCCCGTGGTGGCCCTGCACATGCACTCCATGCTGTGCAAAGTGGAAGACATTCTCTTTTCATAAAGGTTTTTGACAAAGGGTACATGCACTTGTGGAAGAGAGTGAAAGAGAGAGAGAGTGAGAAATCACCCCTGGCGGGGGCGGGGGGGCACACCACAATCCACTCTCTGTTCTCCTGAGATCTTGGGTACGCATGCTCACATGCCTGGCATGAGTTTCAAGCCACCAAGCCTGGGACTCGAACCGCCATCACCCAAGTGAGAGCCCAGTGACCCAGGGGCTACACCACCTGCTGGCCCCAAGTAGAAGAAATTCTAACAGCTCCACACACATCCCCAGGGTGGTTGGGTGAGGTCTGAGCTCAGCATCATGGCTCTGGCACTGACAGATCTCCATGACTGGGACATGTGACCCGACCTTTCAGTTCACTTGTCCGTTAAGTAACATGTGGGCACTCACACATGGGCCCCTGTGTCCTGTGTGGTGCCACTCCTGCTGTGGCGATCTGAATGTGGAATGACTCAGATGTGGCTCCTGCCCTGGAGCCAGGTCTCCGCCGTTCAGCAGCACAGGTGTGGGCTACACAGCAGGGACAGTCCACCTGCACCGGGGTTCGCACCGAGCTGAACCTAGGTCTTGTTTTTGACACCCTGGGTGCTCCAGAAAGGGTGTGAAGCAGGGCCCCTGCGATGCCATTGACGTAATTTTAGTGTTCTCTATGAGAGCAGTCACTTGTCCCAGCACCATCTTTGAGGTTTATTTACTTATTTATTCTGTGAGTGAGAGGCAGATGCATGTGCCTGGTGTGCTCAGGGAGGTCTCAGGATGCAAACTGGGAACCTCCCGTGTAGGTTAGTCTTGGACTGCTGCACAACATCCGACCCCAGCACCAGGTCTAACAGTATGTCCTCCCCATGGACCTACGCAGCACCCACTCCCCTACACAGTCTGCCACGTGCAGCTCTCCTGGCAGTGCCCCCAGATCACTCATGCCCCATCCCAGTACCTTGTTCTCTGACATGTATCACAGAGCACACCGTGTCACTCTGTGGACTGTGCCTCTTGTGCAGGGCCTGTCTGTCCCCTCTACCTTGAGCCCTCCAGTAGGTGGCTTCACGACAGCAGGTACTTTTGTCTGTTTCACTCACTGCCGTGTGCTCAGCATCTAGAACCATGCCTTGAACATGGTAGGTGCCAACTAACACACCTGGAACACAGCAAGAGCTCAACTAGCATGGCAGGTGTCAATTCACACACCTGGAACACAGAAGGTGCTCAACTCACACCTGGAATACGATAGGTCCTCAACTCACATCTGGAACACAGTAGGTGCTCAGCTAACACACCTGGAACATGGTAGGTTCTCAACTAACACACCTGAAACACAGCAGGTGTTGAGTAACACACCTAGAACATGGTAGGTGCTCAACTAACACACCTGGAACATGATGGTTGCTCAGTTAATACACCTGGAACACGGTAGGTGCTCAACTAACACACCTGGAACACAGTGGGTGCTCAACTCACACACCTGGAACACGGGAGCTGTTCAACTAACATACCTAGAACACTGTAGGGGCTAAACGAACACAACTGGAACACAGTAGGTGCACAACTAACACACCTGGAACATGGTAGGTGCTCAACTGACACACCTGGAACATGGTAGGTGCTCAACTGACACACCTGGAACACGATTGGTGCTCAACTCACACCTGGAATATGGTAGGTACTCAACTCACACACCTGGAACACGGTAGGTGCTCAGCTCACACCTGGAATATGGTAGGTACTCAACTCACACACCTAGAACACAGTAGATGCTCAGCTAACATACCTGGAACATAGTAGGTGCTCAACTAACACACCTGAAACACAGGAGGTGCTCAACTAACACACCTGGCACACAGTAGGTGTCAACTAACACACCTAGAACCTGGTAGGTGCTCAACTAACATACCTGGAACACGGTAGGTGTCAACTAATGTGTTAGATGCATCCATGATTGTTTGCTGAACAAGCTTCATTCTGTACAGCCCTATAGCCTTTGCCTGAAAGACCTCCCGTCACTCCCTGGAAAACTCCTATTCACCCCTCAAGTCTCAGTTTAACCACTTTATACTATGTGAAGCCTTTCTTGACCCTGTACCTGAATCCAGTTAAGGCACTTGCTATGTGGAAACGGGTTCCCCACTTCCCCATGCCAACAGGCTGTGAGATCTTTAAGGGAAAGAACCGTTTTTTTCATCTTGGCTGGTGTGATAGAATTGAAAGTGGGTCTGAACTGTTCCTGTGGAAAAAAAGCCAGTTGGGGGAATAGCAGATGGTGTAATGGTTACATTGCTGGGCTGGACTCCCACATAGTCAACTGCAGTTCGAGTCCCAGATCTGGTGACATCAAACTCATGCCAGGCACATGTGTGTGCATGCCCAAAATCCTGAGGAGAATGTAGAAGGGATTGCAGCACGCTCATCAACCCAAGGGGTTATTTCTCGCTTTCTGTCTCTCTCTCTGTCTCTCCAGCAAGTGCATGCACCCTATAGCAAAAATATCTCTGAAAGAAAATTTTTTAAAAAGCCAGCTAGGCACCAGGAGGAGGTGTGCGAGGCTCGGGACACCAAAGATGATGCCACCCCCCACCTCCGCCTACTGCAACCTGGCCCCTGACAGCCCTTTCCACACCCTGGCTGCCCAGTAGAGGGACAGCAGCCTCCTTGGCATTCTTTTCACAGCACCTGAGAACACTATTTCTTTTTGAAGGTTTTTCACCATAGTGCATGTATACTCACTAGAGAGAGACAGAGAGGGAAACTGAGAAAGCATCCCCCCCGGGGGGTGGCCACACTGAAATCCCTTCTCTTCCATTCTCCTCTTGGGGTTTTAGGCAGGTACACACACACGCCTGACGTGATTTTTAAGCCACCAGGTCTAGGACTCGAACCACGTTAGCCATATGGGAGTCCAGTACCTTAATCACTACACCATACTTTTTTAAAAGCACTTAAATAAATCTTAAGCTTCACAATGGGTTGATTTAAAGACAGTGTGTAAGTGATGGAAAAGCTGCATGCAGGTGTGCAGGCAGGCAAGTGTCATTCGGGAGGCCGACACAGGGCACTGCAGCAGCAAGAGCTGCCACCAGCAACCTGACCCCTGGGCAGAGCAGGAGGGTCAGCCTATGCAGCTCCTGCAGAAGGTCATGCTGGGTCAGGCCAGGCTGCCACTGTGGACCATTATAACACTCAGGCCCTCCTGACCTGCCCAGGCCCGGCCACTCAGAAGCTGAAGACTTTGGAACCAAGCATGTCCTTGGCAAAAGCCATTGTGCCCACTTGCTCTGCATGCCCTGGTGTGTCACTGTGCCATGGGGATCACAGGCCCAAGCTGGCAGGCCCATGGTAGCATGCCGGCCTGGCAGTTCAGAGCAGCACGGGGCTGTGACTGAGCATGTGGGCCAGGAGGGCACCTGGGCTGGACATTTTGTTACATACTCCCCATAACCGGGCTTGGACAGGGTCCCAGTCAGACACATTGTGGACAGAGGGGAACATTGTGGACAGAGGGGCCCCCACGCTCAACTGGGGGCCACCAGGTCATGGCCGCTCACGTATGCCTGTCCTGACAAGGACCAGGAACTGAGCAGTCCAGAGACCCCACCCTGCCTGATACGCACGAGGTTTGGCCTCCTCACCCAAAATCCCCACCTAGGTAAGAAGGAAGCCAACAGCCCGACCCACGTACCCTACTGCCACCCGCCCACCCACGTGCGATCCTCCCACGGAGGGGCCCATGACGGCAGGCCGGGGTGGAAGCTCACCTTCTCCTTTGATGTCGTGGGGGTAGCCGATGACAGCAGTTTCTGGAACTGCAGGGTGGTCAGCCTGTGCACAACAGAGGACAGACCAGCACAATGTGGCAAGCCCCAGGGTGCTCAGGGAGACGCAGAACAACCACCACCCAACTCCGAGACCAACAGGGCACCACCAAGGCAAGAGTAGAGGAGGCCAGCCGCACTCACCATGGCGTCCTCGATCTCCGCGGTCCCCAGCCGGTGGCCGCTGATGTTGATGACATCATCCATCCGCCCCGTGATCTGGTAGTAGCCCTCCTGGGTTCGGTAAGCCCCGTCTCCGGTGAAGTAATAGCCTGCACGGCGAGGAGGCTGAGCACAGGACCCCAGAGCACAGCACCCCACAGTTCATGTCCTTCCTCCAGGGCCCCAGGGCCTAAGCATGCCCTGACCTCACCCTACAGCTAACGCCCTGAAGCCCAGTGCCCGGCCCATTCCTGGCTCACCCTGACCCAGTCACTTCTCTATGTGGCACCACCTGGCCATGAAAGTGACAGCCCAGCAAGCAGGGCAGGTGACGTGGACGCAGCAGAGCACCCCCCCACCCCCCGTGGCCTCAGCACCACACACACTCAGAGAGCAGAGGTGTAAAGCGGCACGTTCATGGAGCTTCCCAAAGGTGCCCACTAGCGTGCCAAGGCCTCTGCACAGCCAGGGGCACCTGCGGTCTGGGCTGGCACGGGTGTGGGTGCATGGTGGCATGAGAGCTCTCTTGGGATGCTTGTCTCTGTCTCCTGTCTCTGTCTCTCAGAAGAAACAAACTTTTAAAAAAAAGTTAAAAAAAAAAAAAAAAAGCAAGTCTCATTTACAAGCTCAAGACTAAACACTGCTGGTTCTGACCAGGCAGAGAAGGCATGCGTGAAAAGCTTCCACCAATGACACAAGCAAACTCAAAAATATGAAAGTAAAGCAAAGAAAGCTCCCAGCCAGCGTGACAGTTCTTGAGGAGGGTTTCTTTACCCTTCTACCCTTCTGTCCTCATGGCCACCAGGCTGCCCAGCCCAGAGCTTCGAGCTCTCACTAGCCTTGTGGGCTTACTCCCAGCTCTCGGATGAGGACAGTCAGCGAGGTAGAGTTGGGGAGTGGCTGCATTCAAGCTTGTGCCCCCAGAGTGCCCATGCTTGCCCCGCACTATTCAGCACTCACAGTCACGGTGACACAAACATCTGAGGCTGTGACCCCGGCAGTCCACGAGGAAGGCACAAGGGGACCAGCTGGGCCCTCTCACCTGGATACGCCTTGAAGTAGGCATCGACGAATCTCTGGTGGTCACCATAGATGGTCCTGGCCATGCCTGGCCAGGCCTGGGAGAGGCACAGGGCCCCGGAGACATCACGGCCCTCCATTACATTTCCCTGCAGCCCCAGGGAGACACGTGGGAGAGAAAGGCAGGATATGGGTGAGGGACAAAGACTGGCAGGCAGCGTCGTTCTCACTGCTGGGCTGGGACAGAAAAATGGCATGCAGTGCCCCAAATGGAGCCACCCAGAGCTTTCTCCTCTGCGAGGAGACAGCCTCCCGAGGGCTCTGAGGAGGACCCTGGTGGCCTGCAGGACCAGATACCTACCTGCAGGGACACGCAATGGATGTTTTACGCCTACCTGGGAAGGATATGCTAACACAGCTGGCTGAAACCGGTTGGAGTCAAGATGGTGGGAAGAATGAACACTACCCAGCCCCGAAGTCCATTATACTCCATTATAATGTGTTAGCATGTAAGGGTCTGCACCCTGGGGGGAGAGACATGCCTTGCTGGGCACACTTTGAACCATGTGCAAAAGCTCACCTGCACAACGGAGTTGTTTTGACTCACCCCCTACGGCCTCCATTTCTCCAAGTCCCTGTGCATAATCCACCCACATTTAACATCTCAGTCGGGGATGAGGCCTGGGACACCAGCACTCAGGGCTGCTCCCCCTGTCTTTTCTCTCCCCAGAGCAGCCCTCCACTGTCTCCCCGTACACTCCACTTGTCTCACTCACTGGCTCGCTCTCGCACAAAACCACCAACTGCCCAGCCCAGAGCCAAAAGGTCACGTGCTGCATCGGTGGGCTCGGCCCGGGTCACACAGCCAGGTATCCAATGCATCTCTCAGACCCGAGAGTCTGCAGTGAACACTGCGTGAGGACACGAGTCCTTCCTCCATGTCCCAGACCCTGAGCACAGGGAGGTGGGCAAGCACGGCGGGCACACGGGGGAGCCCTTACACACCTGCTCGTCCATGAGAATGGGGACGATGCCATAGAAGGGTCTCATGGCCATGCCGGGGAGGATTTCTGCCCCTTCTTCTGAGGGCCTCGGTGCGATGCAGATGCCGCCTGTCTCTGCAGGGAGGGCAAGGAAGAAATACCAACTGGCCCCGGGGCAGCCGCACAGTCATCAGATCATGCTTCTAAAGAGCACAGGACCTGTCTGCTGGGGCTCCCCCGGGGTGGGAGGTGGGGGAGCGCCCCTGTCTGGGGCAAGGAAATGACCAGTCAGACATGGCTCTGTCCCCTGCCCTGCGGAAGTGCAGGCCTCGGGTCCGCTCACCTGTCTGCCACCAGGTGTCCACCAGCGTGCACCGGCTGTCCCCCACCACCTTGTACAGCCACTCCCAGGCCTCTTGGTTGATGGGTTCTCCAACTGAAACCACACAGGAGGGAGACATTAGCAACGTCAAATGAAGCTGAAATCGAAGGGAATCCATTTGTAAGGGAGCACGTGTTTATAATTTTTCTATTCACGGTCATCAGAAAAGCTCACTGCAATGAGGTATTTTTGCCACCGCCAATGTAAAAACGTTAGCAAGGGCCTAGCTGCAGTGGTGCTCACACAGTGCCACTGCCTGGGAGGCTAGAAGCCATGAGGGAGGCCCAGCCTTTGTTTCTGAGCCAATTTGAACACACAAAGGTGGCTGTGCCTGCCTGTAATCCTGGCTCACTGGAGGCTGGGGCAGGAGGATTGTGCCATGGCAACACCCTGTCAAAAATGCCGTTCTCTGGCCCTCTTGGTCTTCCCCTCTCCTCTCTCTCTCTCCCCCTCTCCCCTTCTTTCTCTCTTTCTTTCAAAGGGAAAACGTTGGTAGGGAACCAGCAGTTAGCGTAATGGCTATGTCACTGGACTCCCACGTAGTCGACCGCGGTTCACGTCCCGGACCTGGTGGCTTAGAACTCACGCCAGGCACGTGTGCGTGCATGCCCAAGATCCCAAGAGGAGAATGGAAGAGAAGGGATTGCGGTGTGACCATCCCCCCTGGGGCGTGATTTCTCGCTTTCTGTCTCTATGTCTCTCTCTGTCTGGCTGGCGAGCGCACGCACCCTATAGCGAAAACCTCTCCAAAAAAAAAAAAAAGGGAAAACGTTGGTGAGAATGTGAGAGAAACAAAGTGTTACATACACAGACAGAATGCAATTTAGTAGAACAATTTTGAGGTATAATTTAGATGTTTCCCTTCATATTTGAAAGTACATATACCAATACAACTACTTTGCATGACTATTTGGGGCAGAATATACTGAAGCTAAGGATGTCTACCCTGTTTCCCAAAACTCCTGGCATATAACCCAGGAGCGTGAATATCCAAAGTAGAGCTATACAAAGATGCCCACAGCACCCCTGTCATAGCTGGAAACTGCAAGGGCTCACTAGAGCAGAACAGATGAACAGATTGTGGTATGCTCGCATAATGGAATACTACACAGCAATGAAAAAGCCAATCACGGCAACCCACCCCAACACAGATGAACCTTTGAGTCATGATCAATGGGACTGGCACAAAGAGATAGCACACATCACATGATCCCATCTTCATGAAGTTCCAGAACAGGCAAGCCAGTCCATGGTGGTCATGGTAAAGGGTAACTAACTAGGAAGGAGCAAAGAGTACCTCTGGAGACTAGAAATTTCTATAGCTTATAGCTTGGGACCAGCAGTTAGCGTAATGGCTATGTCGCTGTACTCCCACGTAGTCGACTGTGGTTCGCATCCCGGATCCGGTGGCTTAAAACTCACGCCGGGCGCATGTGCGTGCATGCCCAAGATCCCGAGAAGAGAATAGAGGATAAGGGATTGCAGCATGGCCATCCCCCTGGGGGGTGATTTCTTGCTTTCTGTCTCTCTGTCTAACGAGTGCACGTGCCCTATAGCAAAAAAAAAAAAATCTCAAAAAAAAAAGAAATTTCTATAGCTTGACCTGGATGGGGTTTTCATAGATATAACCATTCCTCCAACTGAACACTTGATGTTTGTAGACATCATTAAATTTTATACCTAATAGAAAAGAAAAAGAAGTGCTTATGCCCTGGGGCCCTGTAACCCGACTTCTCAGTGTCTGCACTAGTGAAATGCCCACCTAGGACTGGTGTCTGACTAGGACTTGCAGCCCAGACACAGTGTTACTGCACTGACCACTCGGCATGGACGTGGGAGGGCCCTGCCAGGACAGCTGTGGACTGGGTTGCTCTGAGCAAGAGGCAACCAGATAAGAGTATTTATTTTAGTTACCCCATCAGCCATCTCTTCATTTGCCTTTCTGCCATGGGATGACAGAGCAAGAAAGTCTATGGGACCAGCAGTTCGCATTATGGCTATGTCACTGGACTCCCATGTAGTTGACTGTGGTTTGAGTCCCGAACCTGGCGGCTTAAACTCACACTGGGCACATGTGCACGCATGCCCAAGATCCCGAGAGGAGAATGAAGGAGAAGGGATTGTGGCGTGGCCATCCCCCCTGGGAGGTGATTTCTCACTTTCTGTCTCTCTGTCTCTCTCTGCCTTTCTGGCGAGTGCATGCACCCTATAGCCAAAACCTCTCCAAAAGAAAGAAAGAAAGAAAGAAAGAAAGAAAGAAAGAAAAAAGAAAGAAAGAAAGAAGGAAGGAAGGAAGGAAGGAAGGAAGGAAGGAAGGAAGGAAGGAAGGAAGGAAGGAAGGAAAGAAGGAAAGAAAGAAGGAAAGAAAAGAAAGAAAGAAGAAAGAAAGAAAGAAAAGAAAGTCCTTGCCAGATGCCACCCTCAGAAGTCTTGGACTTCCCAACCTCCAGAACCATGAGCCAATCAAGTCCTGTTTCTTATTCATTACCCAGTCTCAGGTATCCTTCCAACTGCACAAAACAAACGAAGACAGCACAGTTCAGGAAGAAGTCCAGAACTCTTTCTGAAATGATTTTATGTCGGCCCCCATTTCTGCTCATCTCATGTGGAAATTCAATGAACTTGGTTGGAGAGGCACAAATTGAACCCTAGCCACTAGGCAGGCCTCACCCAGTGAGGCACAGGATAGGATCTGTGACAGTATTTGTGACAGCGGCGCAGGACAGTATCTATGATCTGAGCGCCGAGAGTCCCAGGTCCAGAACGGCCAAGTAAATCCATGACAAAAGACGCAGAAGACTCCTGAGGGAGACTTGGGGTCCTGAGAGGCGGAAGGAGTCATGTGGAGGTGCGGGTAGCCGAGACCAGGACCCTGAGGGCTGTGCAGGGGGTGGGGGCACAGGGTCCCCAATCCAACTGGACGTGGGAGCAGGTGAGGTTTGTCAACTCTGGGTCAACACAGCCTCCCTGTTTACTCTGTGTGACCTTGGGAAAGGCCTGACCGCCCTGCACCTCAGTTTCCTGCTCTGACACAGGAAAACATCAGCGTGTAGTTCTCAGGGCTGACATGAAGATACAGGTACTTAATAAAAATGTGCTCTTATTAATAGTATTCAACCCTCTATATTTTTAATCTAGAAAGTTCTGTGAGAAACTGAAGGGTTTTATTGTCAATGGTAAAATAAGAGCAAAGAGAACAGGGCCCACAGGAGGCGTGGCGGTCAGTGCTGTGAGGCTGGCCCACAGGAGGGTTCTGGGTTCTTGCTGAACCCCTCCCTGAGTACACCATACAGGAGCAAGTCCACGACCGGGGACCCTGCTGGGGTGCTGGCTCGCTCCTACTCTCTTTTCCTCACTCGCTTTCTGTTCCAGTGTGTGTGTCTTTCTCTGCCTCTTGTACTTGTGAAAGAAATACACCGACTTGCTTTTTAAGAGAGATTTTTGCTATAGGGTACCTGCTCTCGCCAGAAAGACAAAAAGCGAGAAATCCACCACCCTCCCAGGGGGAATGGCCACACCACAATCCCTTCTCCTGCATTCTCCTCTCAGGGTTTTGGGCACACACACACATGCACACGTCTGGTGTGTTTCAAGCTACCAGGTCCAGGATTCAAACTGTGCTTGATTACGTGGGAGTCCAGCAACATAACCATTAAGCCATCTGCTGGTCCCAATACACAGACTTTCTAAAGAACCAGAAAGAGGAGAAAGGGGTCACTGATGCTCGCTACATGTCAGGAACTTGGCCTGCTACCCCTCATTCCCGTGTCTCCATGGTAACATTAATGTTTACGTGCTGGTCCTGTTTCATCCTCACCACCCTGTGAGGCTCCGTCCTCTCTTCACACATAGGACTGGGCGGACAGCGCCATCGGGTGCAGCCTCCAACTGTGGCACCCTCAGCCTGCACAGCGGCGGCGCCCCACAGCCTTGCAGTCACTAAGCTCCCTTTTCTAAGGATGGGTCTGGCAGAAGGACACGTACCCATGGTGGCAGCAACCCTGCACGCTTCCTCCATGAGGAGCCACTGAGCAGAGGGAGGGCTCACCCCAGGAGAGGGAGGCAGCCCCACCTCATTTTCCCTGCTGACCATACACGACAAGACCTGTCCAGGCAGAGCTGAGTGTGGCAGGAAACAGCGAGAGAACAGCAGCTGTGACACCTGGGCCATCCCAGCACTGGCACCGAGGATGGGCGTGTGCATGGTCATCTCCGGATACCCACCCTCCCGGTCCAGCACTTCCAAGGGACTTGGCAATAGCTACAAAATCACAAAAGTCTGCAGCGAGGCCAGTGCGCAAGGGCAGGGTGACATTTATTACACAGACTTGGGAATGACCAAAACACCCAACAGTGTTCAGTAAATGGTAGTCACCTACGGAAATCCCACGCAGACGCTCAAGAAGAGGCGTGGCCGTGACTTGCCACGTCGGTAAGTGTTCACAGTGACGTGAGCTCTGTGAGGCCAGGTGGCGATGACAACGGCACCCGCGAGGCGGATTCACATGAGAAAGTTATCAGTTTGCTTCTCACTTCCCCATGCCCGCCGGACACACACTTGCCCACGGCCCACAGCTGGCAGAGGCTGGGTGGACTGTGATGCCGATGTCCCACTGAGGGTGCTGCCCTCCTCTCTCCTTTTGTCTGTTCGTTACTCGTGGAGTAAATGGATAAGTTCATCTGTATCTATTCTATCTATATCTACATAACACAGCTTCAGAACTCAAGCACAGAAGCATTAGAAAAGAAATGTTTAGAATGTACGGCTGGCCCCATGGCATAGTGGTTAAGGGAGCTGGGTTCCACATGGCCAACCACGATCGGAGTTCCAAACCCAGCGGCTTAAAAACACCCTGGGCACATGACAGTGGGTTCCCTAAATCCTAACCAGATAGAGAAATGGAGAAGAAACTATGGTATGACCACACCCCACTGGAGGGTGCTTTCTTTCTCTCTCTCTTTCTCTCTCTCTCTCTTTGTCTCTCTGTCTCTCTCTGGTGAGCATACACACCCTCTGGCAAATTAAAGGAAAATATATTTGGAGGGTCCAGCAAGTGGTGTGGTGATTAAGGTGCTAGACTCTTACATGGCTGACAGTGGTTTGAGTTCCAGACCTAGACGCTTACTTTCTCACTTCCCCTCACCCCTTCCCTCTCTCTCCCTCTCTCGCTCCCTCTCTTTCTCTCAGTCTCTCTCTGGTGAGTGTGTGTGCGTGTGCCCTCAAACAAATTAAAAATAATAATGATAAACTAAATAAATAATTCTTTTTTTTTTAAAGAAATGTTATGTTGTACCCCAGATTGTTAACAGCAGTCGCTCTGGGGAGGGACTTGCAGGTAGGATCTGCTTTCCACAGATCTAGCCTGGCATTGCTTGAACTCCCCACCACACGCAGCTGCATAGCAGCCCAGGGGACACGGCGAAGCCCATCAGGGCTCTGAAGCTGCACAAGGACACCCCGTGCTGCCACGGCGGCCACTCACCTGACCCCAGGGTCCGCAGGGAGGAGCGGTCATACTTCTTTACCCAGGCATCGCCGTATTTCAGCAGCAGCCGGACAGCCGTCGGGGCGCCGTAGAACTGATTGATCTTCAACCTCTGCACCGTCTCCCAGTACCGACCTACAGAAAGGCGCAAGCTCACGTCAGGAGAGCCCACCAAAAGCAACCTATGTTCTGGACTATGTTCAGGGTAGGCAAGATGGGGCCTCCTGTTCACAGCTGCTCTGCAGCAGTCCTCACTACGGCAACTTGCAACCCCTGCAACACCCCCACCCCTGCCCACAGCGTGGCCCCTGGACCTTCAAATTTTGAGCTGAATAAACCTCCACGTATATAAGTTACCCAGACTCCGGTATTTCCTGTTATTAGCAACAGAACACACTAGAATAAATGTGACACGTCCTCGAAGCTATCTCTATTTAACAGAGGTGGCTCCAGGCCATGTACAATGCAGTCTGGCGGGACGGCGCAGGGGGATCAGAAGGCAGCTCTGGGGCCACAGGAGGCCTGGGCTTCCAGGAGGGGCCGGATCTAGTCAGGTGGCTACAGAGCTGAGATGGACCATGCTAAGGGAACAGCACAGGGAAGGCAGCTTCAGGTGGAGAGCAGGAAGGCTGGGGTGGGAGCTCTGGGATGCTAAACGCTGCTGTCGCTGCCTGGTCTTCCTGCAGACTTGGCACCTGGCTCTGGGCCACCCATGGGGCTCAAGGCCATTGCAGTGTCACTCAGCAGCCAATCAACAAGACCGCAGGAGCCACACCCTGCCAGAGCCCAGCCTCCGCCCTCCTGTGAACCTCTCCTCAAGTGCCCTCCCCTGCCTCCCAGCACCAAATCCCAAACAGGGCTCAGAGTCCTCACCAGCATCGGGGTAAACTGGGGTGCTCTCGAAAAGGATGCTGGTGGCTCCATTGCAGAGGGGCCCATAGACCACATAGCTGTGTCCTGTGATCCAGCCGATGTCAGCCACACATCCGAACACGTCACCAGGCTGGTAGTCAAACACGAGCTGCAGGCACAGGTCGGGGTGTCAGGAGCTTATCTTCCAGCCCACCTGCTCCACTTGTCACCAGGAAACAGGTACAAGCTCGGCCGTCCACAGCAGGACGACAGTGCACCACGAAGAGCACACATAGCGCACAGCAGCGACGAGAGAACCTGCGGCCCTCACAACCTGGATACCCCACCCCCCACAGATGTGAGTGTGCAAGGGAGCCCAGACACGAGAGTGAACACTGCGTGTGCCCACGTGAAGAAGCCCAAGATGATGAGGGTCAGGCCGGGGTATGCAAGACCCTTCCAGGCTGGAGACACCCCCTGTGCCGACACAGGTGGCGGCCACACGTATGCACACAGCTACAACTTCATCTAGTGTCGTGGGTGCTTTACTGCATTAACTCCTGCCACAAATTTTTTTTTTTTTGGAGAGGTTTTTGCTATAGGGCGTGTGCACTTGCCAGAAAGACAGAGAGAGACAGAGAGACAGAAAGCGAGAAATCAACCCCAGGGGGGATGGTCACGCCACAATCTCTTCTCCTCCATTCTCCTCTCGGGATCTTGAGCACGCATGCACACATGCCCGGCGTGAGTTTAAGCCACCGGGTCCGGGACGCGAACCGCGGTCGACTACATGGGAGTCCAGCTACATAGCCATTACGCTAACTGCTGGTTCCCCTGCCACAATTTTTTAAATCCTTTAAAAATTGCAAAAAAAAAAAAAAATTAAAGTAAAAAAGGCCAAGAATTGGAATCAGCAGATGGTGTAATGGTTACATTGCTGGACTCCCATATAGTCGACCGCAGTTCAAGTCCCAGACCAGGTTGCTTTAAACTCATGCCGGGTGTATGTGTGTGCATGCCCAAAATCCTGAAGGGAGAGTGGAGGAGAAGGGATTGCAGCATGGCTACCTCCCCAGGGGGTGATTTATCATTTTCTATCTCTCTGTCTCTCTGGCAAGCGCACGCATTCTATAGTAAAAATCTCTCTTTAAAAAAAAAAAAAAGAGCCAAGAATTGCACGAAACATCATAAACTCAGAGCACAAGAGGACAGATGTGGACTTCTCGTTCTTTCTTGCCAAAGGGTCCAAGCAGAGCCTGATCCCATCTCAGGACTCAGCTGTCCACTTGTGGGAAACACAGAAGACAGAGGGACAGTTGGTGCAGGATAGGAGGGACAGAGGCTATGCATGACCACAGACCGAGTGCAAGGAAATGAAGTGGGTGGAGGTTAAAAGGATTTAAAAGATCTATTGAAAATATCTTAATGGGCGACAGCAAGCTATGGCGTCCAGAGATATGACAAAACCATGAAAAGAAAAACCCAGGGCAGTGGCGCAGTGAGTCAGGCCATGAGGAGGGGACTCCCGTCAGACAGCCATGGAAGGGCTTCTGCGGTCTGGCAGGATTCCATTTCTTGACCAAAGTGGCATTTGTCTCACAATAATTTATTGAGCCACACATATGATTTGGGTGGCTTTCTGTATTCCAAAAAAGGCTTTTTGAAGGTCTTCAGGTCAGAGGCCACAGTGTACTGCTGTGGCAGACAGGGGTCAGACTAGCCCGTTTCCAGACAGTATCTGGGGGGCCGAGAAGGCCAGGGCCCAGGAGAGCTCCTGCAGGAAGAATGCGCGTTCCCCGCGCTGGCCAGTCGGCACACCCACACCCAGAGCCCGCAGCACGCAGGGGCTGAAAGGACTGGTAATGCGCGCGGGCCGACGCTGCCCAGTCTGTCATGGGGCTGGAGATTTTCTGCCTGCTCCTCGTGGAGGGAGCACAGGTACCAGGGGCCAGTCATTCTCCACCGAACCCAGAGACCAGCCAACACCCCATTTCGTCACGTACCTCAAAACCTACTCACACCCCAGCGCCCCTTCTGACTACTGTCCTTTTCCTTGCAGAAATTAACAGCCTGAACACCCTCTCCATGAGCATGCACACCTGTGTGCACATGTTAACAGACATACATGATCACATATGTGCATGTAGACACAGGCAAACAGCCACTCCCCACACCACGCAGAGGCACACACGTGCACATGCACATGCAGGAAGATCCCAGTGACTGTGACAAGGGCACCAATGGCCACTGTACCGAGTACTGCACACGCACTGTCACCTGAGCTGTAGGGCAGGACCCACTGTGGGCTGGTCACCCCGTCTCCCAGGCAAGGACACAGACACTGGGAGCTGGGCTGGGGCACCTGGCTGGGGCCCACAGTCATCGGAACTGTTCCTTCCAGGGCTTCTTTCCCAGGAAGGGCAGACTGAGCAGCTGCCCTGGTCTGTGGACAAGCAGGCCTCCTTGCCCCCAAAGCCTGGCCCTCGATCCCAAACAAGCGGGAAGACACCCCCTTCCCTTTCCAGGACCACAGTCACTTTCTGCTCACATTTAGTTTTATCTCTAGAAGCCTGAAAGTTTCTATTCCTGATACTCAAAAAAAAAAAAAAAAAAAAAGAATTGGAAAAAAACCCCAAGGCAAACTCCCCCCCCACAAATTT